AATAAAAAAAAAATTTAATGTTATTGATTCTATATAAACAGTAATTACAACTGCGAATAATGCCAATGCAAATACTTTTTATTAATGCACATAATGTGATATCTTAAAAAGTAAAATAGGTGAAAAGTTTTCCCTGTGCCAGCTAATGATAAATAATTCTGCTATTAATACTCCTGCAACTTTTTTAATATGGGTTCGTCATAAATATTGAGAAGTAATGACAGGAAATGAAGAATTAACTTTATAATATGATGCAAGAAAAGTTTAATTCATTAGATACTCCAGATACATATGAATCTAGAATTCGAAAAGTTATAGTTGGTTTTCAAGATGCAATAGTTATACCAGCATTATATACACATCTTCCTAACGATATTCGCAGTAATGTAAAAATGTATATGACTATAAGAGGAGGAACAAATCAAACAATAGATAATTTCTTTACAGATCTAAAAAAATGTTGGATTGAATATCAAGTTGGAAACAATTTTCAGGGACAAAATCCCATTAATTAAAAAAATGAGGCATTTAGTAAGCTTGCAAATCTTGCTTTGATATACAGATAAGTTATATCGAAAAAAAATTATTGACCTATTTATATAGGGCTAGTCCTCGTGATGAATGTGGTTTCACTGTATTTTTTAAATTGGCACAGGATTGGTGAAATGCAAATCGCTTCCTTTTCAAAAAATAAATTTCCTAATTAGAAAAACTCGATCATGCTTTTATATAAATCTATATCTTAAAAAAGAAGAAAGACTCTACCTCAGAGATTAAATAAGAAAAAAAAATGATGATGAGGGAATAATTTAAGATAAATTCAGAAGGTGTTTCACAAAAAATAAATTGAAAGCCTGATCCATACGTATGAAAAATATTTAATAACTGGAATAATGTTAGAATAAAATCACTGGATAAAGACGTATTTATAATTGACAAATCATGGAGGATTGATAATAGAGAAAATATTAATTATTGTATTTGTAGTTGGGAAACTACCGAACAAAGGATAAAGGATAAATTTATGTTAAAATAATATGCTAAGGAAATTATTTGTACCATGAGGACACAACAGAACAGATATTTTATGTAAATGAAGAATAAATTTTGTGCGTAAGAATTCGAAAATATTTTCATAATAAAATTTATTTTTTTTACATTGTACAACCCCCTGATCATTGGAAAGTAAATTTGTTATACTCAAAAATTGTGTAATAAAAATTATATAATTATTAATTGTTCGCAATAATTAGGAAAGAGTAGTGATCGAGGATACCTTTTACACAAATAAAATGGTATTTCATTGTCCATGAAATGATCATTTTGCCATTCACTTTTTTTTATTTTTTATTAAATATTTTTATGTATA